CTTGATTTATAAATTTTAAGTCGAAGGTTCCAATTGAGAATTCACTCAAAGTTGGGCGTTGAAGAACATAGGTGATGGTTGACTAATTTTTAAGAACCTATGTTGCCAAAATGTAAATCTAAAGAAGAAAGCATTTTCAATTGGATCGAGATAAAAATATTTACTTGTTCAGATCAAAATTAAGATGAAGTGAGGTCAGCAACGATGAATCTCTTTGATTAACTTTGCAAATTTATTGGAGTTATGCTACACCCTTGGCACTGCTAGGGCCCCGGCAAAATGGAAAAATCGAATTAATTATGAATGGTTCATACAAATGACGACCATCAAAAAGCTATGGTTGTTCCTTTTCAAAAAAAAAAAAAAAAAAGCTATGGTTGAATGACGACGGTTGAAAAGGCATGGGTAAATTTTCTTTGTTGACGATAAAATGGTTTTTTATCTAAAAAGGACCAAATCAATATACAAACAATCATGTTACAATAACATCAAATTCGACAATTTTTTTGACATCATGTGACTTGACAAATTTTTATCCATTGATTTCAACATCACTTTTTACATTGCATAAAAAAGAGAAAATATTGCTTTATTGTGAAACTTCTTTTCATAGCCTTTATAACTCGAGTGATTAAGTCTACAAGGATATCTAAAATCTGGTGCCTTATAGTCACCTTACTTTGAGTCATCGGCCAAAAGCTCGTCTCAAGGATCATTAAGAAAGTTTAATGGAGAGAAAGTCGCACATAAGATGAAAAAAAAGGAAATAAAAAAAAAAATATTATTACATGCTTTGATTAAACTCCAAATACTTATTTGAGAGAATTTAAACCTTTGACATTTGATTATTAACTTAGTTGATTATTGGAGGCTGAAGCAATAAAAAATAACGAGAATCTTCATTTATTGATGTGTTGAGTTGCAATTAGTAAGATCTTATCAAACTAGAGAGGTGGTGATTAATATTATAAAAATATTCAACTTTAGATCACACCTTGAGAAAATAGTGAAAATAATAAGTTTAGGGTGGGAAACTCACGAGATGAGAAATGACAAATTTGACTATCGAGGGTTGAGATTTAAAACACTTCATGAATTTATGATGTTTGATATGAATTTTCACACACGCCGTTTTTGCATTGAATAAGTAGAAATTAATTTTAACATTGTAATTTTGTAGCAATTCATAGTTTTAATACATACATTTCAATCTTGAGACAAAAGACAAATTATCTAGCTATATATGTGTTTAAAATTTTTGGTTAAGTTATGTTATAATTTTGTTTGAGGACCAAAAAAATGTTCAGCAACCTAATTTGTTGATGAATGTGTAGCAGCAGGAAAGCCCTCTAACTAATATTATGCACCATTTTGCCCAGGAGCAGTGGTCTTTGACAACTTGAAATTATAGTGTCATGGTGACCACTTGGCTTAGCCTGAAAGTTGGTGAAATCTGTCTACATTATCGTCTTAGCTAAACAAATTTTAGGTGCTTTTGTACATTGTTGTAGTCAAATGTAGGAGTCCAATCGATCATATTATTCTTGTGTAGTTAAGAAGTTATTCGAATGGAACAGCTTTAGGAGGCCTCAGCATAATCTCTGACTTCACTTTCCGCTAATCAAAATTTACTGATCATTTTTGGTTCCTTCTATTAACCATAGAAATCTTCCATAGGTTGTACATGGAAATTCCTGTTGCAACTAAACTTTCTCAAAGGCGAACTTCTAAAATGTTTTCAAGTTGCTGTTGAACTTTAGACGTCAATAGAGTTGATGTTGAATAGAAGTCAACAGATTTGATGAATTTATTATAACTGATAATTCATCCGTCATTGTAACTACCATGTCGATGAAATTGTCTTTTAGTTGCAAAATTTTTTGCCCTTGTTCTTCTATTTTCCTCGTGATTTTGGGAAGATTGTGTGCTTTCACTAATATAGATAACATCTGAAAAATGAAAAGTCTTTTGAAAAATAAAAACATCCAAAAAATGATGACAATTGACCAATAAAGTTATCAACGAGCTCAATCCTTGGATCAATTTGCGAAATTTCGCCAGGTCTTGGGCACTATATTTATAGGTGCCGTGGGTCGGAGCTTGCCCAACATGAGAAATCAATTAAATTGCCTAGGAAATATGTGCATGGAATATTAATTAAATGTGTTTCATTGATTTAATTTCAATCTAGAAATTATTATACTTGTCTATGTTTTATTGATGGGTAGATGAGAGAGCGTGAATCACCTGCAAAATAAGAACATACCCCTCCGTAAAGAAAATGTTTTTCTTGTTTTTAAAGAAAATATGGTCACGTGACCAACTTTTGGAAAATATTTTTCATGAAAAAAAAGTCAATCAAACATTGTAAAAGTAGGAATTTGGGTGAAAAAAATACATTTTCTGTGAAAAATAAAGTCAATCAAATACAAACCAAAATTCTGATTTTTGTTTAAAAGGAAATTTTATTGGGCTACCCGGTTTATAGGGCCTACAGGCCGGACCTTGAAAAATGGGGTGGCGCTGACTGGACCATATCAATGGGCTGGACAGGGATAAGATTGACATTTGAACATCCAAGCAAGCACATAAGAAACCCTAGCTTCCTCTCCTATCTACTTTACATTAGTTGGTGTTTTGTCGCTTCACCATATTCTCCAATCATTC